CGGGGGGACCGCCCGGAGGGGCGGCCGGAGGGGGGAACCGGCCCCGTGCCCGCCACCGCCCCGTGGGACACGCTGAAGATCAGCCAGGCCCCCCAGGTCAGCATCAGCCGCAGCAAAAGCTACCGCGAAAACGCTCCCTTCGTGGCACCGCAGCCCACCCGGGACGAGCTGGGCAGCCCCGCCGCTCACGTCGAGGAACGGCCGGGCCCCGCCGCGCCGGCCGCCGAGGAGGAGGAGGAGGACGAAGAGGAGGACGAAGAGATGCTAGAGGAGGAGGACGAGGAGGAAGAGGAGCTGGAGGACGACGAGGAGGAGGAGGAGCTGCTGGGCGAGGACGGCGGGGGGCTGCTGAAGGAGGCCCGCCGGGGCACCGCCGCGGCCCCCGGGGCGGAGGGAGGGGATCTGTCCCCCAAGGAGGAGCTGCTGCTGCACCCCGAGGACGGGGAGGGCAAGGACGGCGAGGAGAGCGTCTGCCTCTCGGCCGGCAGCGATTCCGAGGAGGGGCTGCTCAAGAGGAAGCAACGCCGTTACCGCACCACCTTCACCAGCTACCAGCTGGAGGAGCTGGAGAGGGCCTTCCAGAAAACCCACTACCCCGACGTCTTCACCAGGTACCGGCGCCGGGACACCGGCCGAACGCCGAGCGGGGGCAGACGGGACGGGAACGGGGCCTCCAAAACGCATCCTCTCCCCCCCCCCACTCAAATCACCCCGGGGGGAATCCTGCCGAGGGCTGGCAGGGAGCGGCGAGCGGGTCCGGGAGGTGGGGAGGGGGGGGGAGGCTATTTTTACCCGCTGCCCTCCTCCCCCTCCCTCGCCGCGGCCGCCGCCGGGATCGGTTACGTTCTCCCCGCGGGGCTGGAGCCCGGCCCGGCCCGGGGAAGCCCCGGCAGGGACAGAGATGAAAGCACCGCTGCCTAAAAATACCGGCCCGGCACGTCGGGGCCCTTCGCTGCCCAGAGCCGTGTCCCCGTCCCCCCCCCGAGGGGCCCGGCTCGGCTCTGCCCGTCTTTTCGGGAGCGTTTTCCCGTTGAAAACGGGAGATCCCGGGGTAACCGGGTCCTCCGTGGGAAGCGCAGGCAGGGAGAGAGGCAGAACCGCCTGCCCCAAAATAACACCCCTCCACACCCCCCAGCCTTTAGCCCAGAGGAGGACCGAGCCCCCAAAACGGCACTTTTCGATCGAGGAGACCCTCCCGGTTTCTCGTTCGTTTTGCCGCGGGGGGGGGGGGTGGGGTGTCCCCCCCACCCTCGGTGCCGGCCGTCACCCGTGGGGCTCCCCTCGGGAGCATATCACCCCTTTTTTGTGTTTGGGGTTTTTTTGGTTTGGTTTTCTTTTTTTGTTGGTGTTTTTACGGCTTTGGCTTTTCCTCCGGGGCTTTTCGTGTCCGGCGGCGGGGCGGGG